TATTAAGATAAAATAAGGCTTGAATTCATATGTTCAAATTTCCAAAAACGCATACATATACATTTAGTTAATTGCTTCAAAGAGATATTAAGACCTTTTTTTACACATTCTCATTGAGAAAACACCTTACATGGATCAATGTAATTGATTCAAATTTTTTTTTCATATGTACTAATATAAAACGAGGCTTGAATCCGTATGTTCAAATTTTTAAAAATGGACACGTATACATCTAGTTAATTGCTCCGATGAAATACCGTGACTTTTTTTTTTAAAAAAAGTAAAGAATATCACTTTTTCACATTCTCCTTGAACAAATACCTTACATGCATCAAACATACTTGAATTCGTATGTTCAAATTTTCAAAAAGGAACACGTATGTATCTAGTTAATTGCTCAAATGAGATACTGAGTTTTTTTTTTTTTTTTAGAAAAGTGACAGAATAAGGCTATATTTGGTACCAATTCTCATTTTCAACAGTAAATCAATTCTCATTTTCAACCACACATTTTTCAATAAAATAATATTTTCTATCACATCAATAATCTTATCTTCTTTTTCAACCACACATTTCCCATCATATCACTATTCNTTTCTCGTCATATCACTATTCAAAATCAGTTTTTCCCCCAAAAAATCCCTACCAAACACATACTAACACTTTTTCATAGAAAACTGATAGAATTCACATTCTCCTTGCGCAAGCACCTTGCATACATCAATATAATTGTTCAAAGTTCTCTTTTTCATGTGTATTAATATTAAAAAAAAAAAAAGCTTGAATTCAAAAAAAGCTTGAATTTAAAAAAAAGCTTCAAAAAGCGCTTACATATGCATCTAGTTAATTACTCCAAGGAGACACTGTGATATTTTTAAGAAAATAGATAGAATATCAATTTTTCATAGAAAAGTGACAAAATATCACATTCTCCTTGAGCAAAAACATTGCTTGCATCAATGTAACTGATTCAAAAAATTTCTTTTCATATGTATTAACATAAAAGAAGGCTTGAATTCACATATTCAAAAATGAACATGTATGCATTTAGTTAATTACTCCAATGAGTTATTGTGACTTTAAAAAATAATAATAATAATAATAATAATGTCACTTTTTCACATTCTCCTAGAGCAAATACATTGCATGCATCAATCTAATTGATTCTTTTTTTTTCTTTTTCATATGTATTAACATAAAACAATGCTTGAATTCGTATGTTCAAATTTTCGAAAAACACACATGCATCTAGTTAATTACTCCAATGAGATACCGTGACTTATTTTTTTAGAAAAATTATAGAATATCAATTTTTCACATTCTTATTGAACAAACACTTTGCATGTATCAGTGTAATTTATTTAAAGTTTTCTTTTTCATATGTATTAACATAAAATTGGGATTGGATTCGTATATTCAAAATTCAAAAAAACATACATGTATGCATCTATTTAATTACTCCAATGAAATACGGTGACTTTTTTGTTTTTTGCGAAAAGTGACAAAATGCCATTTTTTCATAGAAAAGTTACATAATTCACATTCTCATTTAGCAAATACATTGCATGCATTAATCTAATTGATTCAAAGTTTTTTTTTTCATATATGTTATATATAAAACAATGTTTGAATTGATATGTTCAAATTTTCAAGAATGCACATGCATGCATCGAGTTAATTGTTTCAATGAGACAGTGTGACTTTTTTTAGAAAACTGACAGAATGCACTTTTTTACATTCTTCTTTTGTCAACCACCTTACATGCATTATTTTAGTTGATTCAAAATTAATTTTTCATATGTATTGACACAATCCATTTTCTCTCAAGTTCAACAATGTTATTTTCAAAAATGTTTCCAATCACAATAACAAAATCATCAAAAAGAAATTTCTTGAATGTTAATTATTTACATTATAAGGTTTAAACTAAACATAATCACGAAATTCAAATAAATTTGAGATAGACAATGAACTATGATGATTAGAATTTGTAAATGGGAGATTATTTAGCTAGAAATTGATAATTACGATTATTACTTTTATAATTTATGCAAAAAGAACACTAAACAATCGTAAAATAACAAAACTGGATAACTAATTAAACAAAGAGTCCAAAACATTAAAAAAACCTATAATTTTGTTTGTGTATTACAAGAAGATTTTTCGATCTTTTTCCCAGAGTTTTCAATGTTGAAGTGGCCTCGATCTTTTTCCTGAGTTTTGAATAATGAACGAATTTTGTTTGTATATTTGTGGAAGATATCCCGTTTTGTCCTTTCAATTTTCCTTTGATTTTTTCAGTTTGGAGGTTGATTTTTGTGGATTGTCGCGATTTTAGGTTTGAGCATATATTTTACGTTCAAATATAACTAATTACCATTTAATCTAAATTTATCATTTTTTATTTCAAAACTGCTCCAAAATATTGGATTTTTGTGTATGTACCCCTTATTGTAATACCTGTACCCATGAACCTAATTTTTTTTTTTTATCTCTTTTACTTAAATTGAAATCTTAAAATGGTTGAGATAATATTTTGATTTTATCTTTATCTTAATAAATTTTAAAGAATTATTGAGATAATGTTATCTTTTATTTTAAATTCATTATCTTATTCTGTTAATCAAAATACAATAAGGTTGAGATAATGATAAAATTTTATTATTTTTAAAATTCAAAGTTGCATTGAATTAAAACTCTCAAAGCATAGTTGTGCCCATAAATAGGTATTATATGTTATATTTTCAAGTATATTCATTTCTCTTTGAAATACACACAAACACGAGTATATTATATTTAGGGTTTTGCTACATATACATCAGTGCTTATATCCTGGTGTATGTAATGTTCAGATGACATTTTATCATTGGCTAGTGGAAAAAACTATTAGAATAATTCTTATATTTATTCATTAGCACGTGAGTCAAGAGTTGAAGTCTTAAATACATTTCAAGAATTTCCTTATTACTTTTAAAAGATACAATTAAGTTTATAAGTACTTATGGGATTATGTGAGTACTTTATTGGAACATTGATTATGGGTCCTTTATATATGTTCTAAGTTTGGACTGTAATATAGTAGCTCTATGCATGAAAATTTTATATCACCTAAGTTCAGTATAAATTTCCGTGTCTCCCTATATGTGTATGAAGTTCTTTAAATTTTGTACATTATTCATAAACGTAGTTATATTTTTACTGAGATTTTATCTCACCTCTGTTAGTGATAATGATAAACTAATTAAAGATTGATCGCTGGTTACATATGTTACATAGAAATAGTATTTGTAAATCAACTACAAGTTTTATTATAGAATAGATATAATAAAATGATAATTTACTTAACAAAGTCGATATGTCCGAGTGGTTAAGGAGACAGACTTGAAATCTGTTGGGCTTCGCCCGCGCAGGTTCGAACCCTGCTGTCGACGTATTATTTTCTGTTTTGAACTTTTTAAAAAAATTGCAGCGACAGTCCCTGACTTTTGAGATAAGTGAAAAAATCCCCATTTGAAACGTTTATCCCGACTTCATTTTTCTGAAGATATGGCAACAAGATTAACTCAACATGAAGTCACCCAACTTATATATTTATTTCATGTTGGTCACTAAATGACATTTTTGTTGTAGTTCTACCATTCGATATGTAGCAATGACCAAAGCTAGTAACCAATCATACGAGGCTGACAAAATGCATAATTTAGTTATTGTTTTCTATTTAAATTACAAAAAATGTTGAAAGGTTAAATAATGAAGACAAATTTAAGATTGTTGATTAGTTGCTTGCTTGCGACGTAAATCCTGGGTATTATTCTTTGACACATGCAATATTGTATTAGTATATGACATTTTAATTTTATTTAAAGAAGAAAATTGTGGATCGTACTATTTTATGCCTAGAGATAGAAATAGAATAAATTATGTGATGGCTTCATTTTGCTGCTAATTCCCCATTAAATTGTAATTCGTTCCACTGTGACTTATTCTCTAATATAAGTTTGTCTTCGCATTTCAAAAAATTCACTTGTCAAACTTTCGTTAATAAAAACTACCAATTTCACCTGTTTGGTAAGAATTAAAATCTAGATTTTAATTTAAGTTAAAATCAACAATTAATCTCAATCCCATATTTTATGGATCAAACAACTTTCAATTACATATTTCATCAATTTCTATCAAATATATTAAAAATTTAATTTTAATCCCATCAAACAGGGGTTTAAACATGCCGTTCCAACAAATGATGTTAGAAAAAGTGGTGCAAATCAAAATTAATGTGACATGTAGTTTACTAATGATTTAAGTAGTTGAATCATCGAGTAGATCTAGAAGTATATAAATATATCCTGAAATTTACTGCAAAACAGGACTTTAGTTGTATTCTTAATAAGAAGGGACATCACTACATTCTTAAGAAAATACAGACTTTTCACAATATGCACGTATCATTCTCCATATCAAGAAGATTAGTATGACTTCTGCACAAAGGATAACACGACACACAACTAAAAAGATCCATTTTTCTTTTCAAATTCTTTGTCGAACCTTACTTGGTTATACGTACATTAGTCCGTTTCTGAATTGAATTTTTAGATGAGGCGGAAGTAAAACATGCTTTCAAACATACATTATCTCATCGGAGTGCCTACTTTGATATCAACTTACCCTTAAATACACGTATAAGAAGAGGGTGCTTATAAGTCCACAAAGCGGCTTTTCACGAGATGTGGAATACAATTAGATTGTTATAATTTTTTTTTTTCCCTAAAATATGAAAAACAAGCACGTAACAATCTTTAAGCTTGTTTTCTTCCCTCCATCGCTTCTCATTAATGCAAACATTTACAAAAAGATATATCCTGTTCATGAAATATCAGTATACAACGGACAAAAAAATTCAAATAAAAAAAAAAGGCAAATTATAATATACAAATCTATGTTATTCAAAAAAAATTACAGAAGCAACCCAAGTTTAAAATTACCAGAAATTGTGACTAGTTCTAGTAACTGCAATCATTTTCCATATGGGAAATGTCAAGGTGAGACGAAGATGTGGCATCAGACTCCGCATTTTCAAGTTCAGCCTGCAAATTAATACCGGATTCACATCGTTTTTCCACCAAAAACAGATTTATAAAGCACAAATTCGACGCAAGAGAAGAAATAAACGAATAAAAACAAAATAAGGAAACCTCGAGTACATGGCAATGTATGTCTGAAGTCATAACAGGAGACTATTATGTTTAATTTACAGATAATAGAGCTGAACAAGCTAGGACTGGACATGATCTAGTTCGATTATCTTAATTAGGGTTGGACATGGTCCAATTCGATTCTCTTCAGTTCGGTTCGGTTCCCAAGTTCCATATCATAATTAATTTTTTTAATATTTACAACAATACTTTATTAATTCAGCTAATAACATAATCTTAGTACTTACAAAATAACATATTCCAATTTAAAATTATACAAATAACAAGTTGTCTAATAAGATTCATTCACCAATGTATACAAGTTACCAAAAAGTAAATAATAAGTCTTCAAATCTAGAAAAAATCATATAGGCTAAATTAATTAGTTGGCAAATGAAATAGAAAAATTATATTTTTGGGCTTAATTAATTAGTTGGCAAATTTATTTAGAAAAAATTAAAATAATTTGGCTTATTTGATATAAAAAAAAAAATTAGAAAAATTAGTTTCTTATTCGATTTTTCGATTCTTGATCTAAAATCGAGAACCGAACAAATCTCGTCGGTTCTTAATTCAAATACCCGCCCGAATATTTAACTTAAGAATAACAATTCGGTTCGGGTCCGACTCGATTCCAGAGTTTTGTTCAACCCTAAAACAAACATCATTTATTCAACATAACGTCACAATCAAATTAAAAAAAAAGATTATTCAATCAAATTAAAAAAAAAAAAAAAGATTATTAACTATGTGGAGCCTAATCATGTTTCACACTTGTATGCTCGACTGTGAAGGAACCTTTGTGGTAAGGTCAACATGGAGTATGTTATTTCGTATTTGTTTTAGGTTGCCTTAATATTCTATAAAGAATTTTAAGTGACCACTCAAGACATTATATCACCATCGTAATTTTTTATAATATAAATCTGCTCCGGCAATTGGGCCTACATCTTGAGGGTGAATCACTATAAGTCTTCATATTTTATAGGGGAAAATTCAGCCACGGTACCAAACCTTTCAACCTTTTTTCCAGACTTTGTCCAAACCTTTGTTTAGTGTCACCCACGATACCAAACCTTTAAAAAAATCACAGCTCCAATCCAGATTGACGGTTTCCGTCTGTTGACCACCAAAATCGTTAGTTGACCCCAGAAATCAAAATAATTAATAATTTTCAACAAATAAACAAGAGCAATTTGGGCATTACACACTTTCCCTTTCTATTATTGCAATTCACTATTCATTTTCCCTCCATTTTCATTAAAATCATGGCCGTCCTTGGCCCATCCAGCAGCAGAAAACTAAGGCAGAACCAACAGATTCAAAATAATTCATGGCATCATTGCCTTTACCAAAATATATATACCTCCCTTCAACAAAACCACCACCAAGTCAAACAATTGGTAAACTCGGCTCGACAGCTGATGCACCGATGTAACTATCATTTTTTCCTTCTCCGCCAATGACCCCAGCGTCGTCATCAGCCGGAACGCACCGTGGAATCCAATCCCAACGACGGCTCGCCAGAATTAACAAACTAGGGCTTATCAGCTTTTCATGTGCTATGCTTATTCTCTTTCTTTCACCACCTGAAATTCCTCAAATAAAACTGTTCCCAATAATTGTATCCTTACATTTAGCCAAACCCAGTTTGTGAATCACCGATTCCACCATGGAAAATTTCTTATTTCTACATAGAGAAGCTGGTAGCCTTAACAGAGAGCAGAAAATTAGGGAACCACAAATTGTTATGTGCAGATACAGAACACCATCTTGAGTGACGAACCCGATTCTTTTTGGGTTCGATTTGGTTAATTTCTTGTTGGCAAGGATTGAACCGGTGAGGCCATGTCCATGGGGGAGCCGATCGTCGAGGGCATTAAGGAGCGTTGATTTTCCGCTGCTGGAGGGGCCAAGGATGGCCAGGATTTTAACAGTGATGGAAATGGAAGGAAACTGAATAGTGAAGTACAATAATAGAAAGGGAAAGTGTGTAATGTCTAAATTGCCCTCGTCTATTTGTTGGAAATTATTAATTATTTTGATTTCTGGAGTCAACTAACGATTTTGGTGGTCAACAGACGGAAACCGTCAATCTGGATTGGAGCTGCAATTTTTTTAAAAGTTTGGTACCGTAGGTGGCACAAAAGAAAGGTTCGGACAAAGTCTGCAAAAAGTTGAAATGTTTGGTACCGTGGTTGCAATTTTCCCTATTTTATATTTTGTTTTGCTTAATATTGCCCACGGAATTGGGATTAGGGCTCAATCCCTAACATAAATGAAAGGAAGACTAAATATATAAGAAGACTGCTTTGTTTTATTTGAAGAACGCATTATGCTTACTTCTAAACTTAAAACGTACGCGAAAAATTAGTCATATCCTTGGAGCATATAATAAGCATGTTATTGAATATCAATGACGTAAAAAGAAATTCATTCCACTCAAGGAGCTTTCTTAATCTTCCAGGCTAATAATAATAATATCCAACGTCAATAATAAGAATTTAACTTGAGTTACCTTAGCTTGACGATACTTTTGAAGAATACGATGATATTGCTGACGAGCCTCTGGAGATTCAACCATAGACAGCACCCTAGAGACAGACTCATCAATAGCTGCATCCACTTTTTGCTTGCGGAACACCTTAAGGATGTCTTCATCCTCGCTTTCATCAATAGATTCCAAGTCCTGCCGAAATCCACGCAGACCAACTCCTCGCCTGCGCCACCTTAGTACTACCTTCTCCAGTACACCAACTGCCCAGCAAACCATATAATTCTTCCTAACTTGATAGCCTCTCACGTGAGCCTGCATCAACAAGAACCGAATAAGAGCTCATTGTATGTCCTTACTGAACTTATTTATGGCACTATCTGGGTGATGTGAACTTATAGCATGTTTGGTATAGCGGAATGGATAGTATTAAAAAGGAATAAGAAGCTAAAATCTGGTCATTATATTGTCCAGTTGTCTGGTAGTACATCCAAACACACACNTGATGAACTTGAAGACTCATGTTACACTGTTTATCTAGCAGATTCATAAAGTTTGAGACCTACGTTAGCCATGTGATCATTTTTTTCTTTTATCCGTCTTACATTTATGTGCTCAATTTCAGGCATACCATCCCAGGAAGGACTTTATTTTCTTATCCAATACATTACAAAAGTTCAAACCCTTTCTTTTTCGTTGAAAACTGCCTATACTCTACCAGCGAGTCAAAGCATTAATGGTTTTCTATTACATTCAAATAACATAGTGCGATGTGGTTGGAAAAGATTTATTTCACTGGACCTTTTTGGAAGATGTGGCAATGGATTGAACGGACTGATCCAAAGAATTGAAGCTTACTCAACAATCATTGTGAATTTGAGTTCTAATATTAAGTTTGTAAAGCTAAAAAACTGAAACCCTTCATGCTAGAATATCCTTTTACTTGAAAGAAATGTCACACCTGTATTTTTACTACTTTCTGGCGGAAGGAAAGGAAGTCCTTCCGACCTTTCCAGCTTCGATATTTTTTCTGAATAGACAAAGCAGCTGAGTTGTAGTCACGTGCGTTGCGGAATGCCAATTTTGATGCAGCTGAGATCCCTGGAATGCCATTCGACAATATACTGTACTCATCATCATCAATAGCAACTGTAGCTTCTCTTTGTAGCCTCTTTCGAAATGAATGTGCACGAAACGCAGATTGTATACGTGCAGCAGCCTGAGCCGCATTCCGAACTGCAGCTAAGGTATCCTTAAGAGAATCCCGATCCTCATCGGTATAGGAACTTGTTTTTGATATACTATTTACCGTTCTTTCTGCTTCCACAGCAGCAGATCCTTTAGATAGCTGACTTTCTTCCAGTGTGAGGGATGAAAGATGACTAGTTAGTGCCATTTCTGAAAGATAACCCGCGAGTCCCCTGTGTCCACTGGTAGCAGCAATAGATGCTGGGGTTTTACCAATTGGATCCTGTGAATTTGGATCCGTAACTGCTCCAGCTGATGCACCAGATGCTATGAGGGCGGCAACCATTTTTTCCCTGTAACATATATACTTCAAAATAAATTATACTTCCATGCACCAATTTGCAATATTAGAGCAGGATATCATTTTTCATGACTTCTATTTACCAAATAGAGCAGATTGTGGACATTTCTGATGTTTCACTGAGTGATTGAATCAGATCATAATATTATGCTAGCATTCATGAAGCTAAAGGGCAAGTCTTCTCTCCTATAAGCAACATACAAAACAATATTGTAGATCGACATATCTGCTAATTCTAGAAGTTTCTCATACATCCATTGTAATCGAGTGTCAACAGTCAAATAAGTTAGCAATCTGTCTAATGGCAAAAAGTAGGGAAAAACACTCCGCTAAAGATAGATTCCCCTTGAACCAGAAAAATACGAAGTTGTTTACTTCATTTTTTAGTTTCTTTTGGCTCCTTTTTGTTAACCATCCATGGTCATTCCATCAGGATCTTCGTTGGGCATCTCTTGGACTGTATCTGCTTTCAAATATATTTCCTTCTCTCATGTTTCCTTAATAGCAGAGTAATTATAGGATTCAGTATTATTAAGATTCGTTTCGATAAGCATATGATTAATGAGTAATGCTATCTATCATTAGTATAGATGCATCACCGGTTAGAAGGAAATGGGTTCCATGCTTCATCAATCAATGCATTAAAGTGCATCACAACTCAATTGGACACTGAATTAGGGATCCATTGCCACCTAACTGGTGATGCATCTCTACTAATGATAAATAACATTATTCTAAGCATATATGACAGTAGGCTTTGAAGATTTAAGGAGCATTAAGTACTAAATCTCAACAGATTATGCTTCAAAAACATATAGTATGCTCATAGAGCTAACATTCAATCCTTATCATCCAAATTGTACCATAAAAGGACAAAAAATTTAATGACATTTCGCACTCAAAGTTATTGTACCAAGTCAAGCTATACAAACAAGTGGCAACATACCAGAAAATGAAAAGTCCAAAGAAGATTAAGATAAATAAGAGTCATACCTCCCAAATTGTGCAGCCCAATGAAGTGCAGTCCAACCATTGATATCACGGAAATTTATGCTGACTCCAGAATTGAGAATCGGTTGCAATGCCCACTCAAAACCCAATCCAGCAATGATGTGTATCACGCCTTGTTCTTTTTTAAGTGAAGAACATGTCAGCTGATTATTCTTTTGTAATCTAGAAGAAAGCAACAGTTCCAACTTGTCTTTCAAAAGTTCTTGCATAAGCCACTCCATGGTGCTTAATGATGTCAAAGTGCCAACCAAAATAGCATCAATGATTTGGCTCCATGAGTCTTCAGACATTTTGGATTTGCCCAACAAATCACTTCTTGATTCAGAGCCATCTTCTTTTTTATCCGACGGATCAGACAAAAGCATCTGTACTAATCGCACGAGCAACAAGAGTTCTTCTGGACTCTTACTAGCCTCTTTTTCCAGGATATTATTGCCTGTGGAAACACTAGGTTTAACATGGTATTCAAACTCCCGGATTTCACTGCAGGACTCTCTATTTCCAGACGTAATGCAAAGCGTGACTTTTCCGGGCAACTGGGCAGGAGCATGGCAGCAAATGACACCTTCTTGAATAATCTGAACAGGCACTTCAATGTCACCAAACATACAGGCCAATGTAGACTCTGATGGTTTGCAGTGGAAAGTACCAATGATGATAACCTGCAAAAGAGAGTTTAATTTTTTATGCTAACTTTGAATACCAATGGTAAAACGATAACTCCAAACACAAAGTTGAATTGCAACTATTGTAGATGTCATATTGGTTACAGAAAGGGATCTCCTTTTCTGGTCAATTCTCCATCTTCGAGTTAATCAATAAACTTTTCCATCTTCTATGTGAGAAACTGTTCTACAGATTTCAAACATGTTCATTAGTTAAAGTTGGAAAAGAGTTGTGATGGACTGAAGATAAAACTATCTGGAGGAAAATTCATACTAAGGAGAATGAGCTATTGTTTTAGATACAAATCACACAACAAACTGTTAAGTGATAAGTAATCACCCTATACATAGTTATAAAAAGACACAAATCACACAACAAACCGTTAAGTGATAAGTAAATCACCCTATACATAGTTATAAAAACCGGACCTGACCGCCGCATTACTTGGTCAAATTAACAAAAGAACCGGTCAAGAACTGGTTGAACATTCAATAACCGTCCGGTTCGGACAGGTTTGAAAGGAAACCCAAACCGATTTTATTTATAACTTGTAACAGCAAGGATTCGAACTTGAGTTTCCAACATGAAAATTCACTTCCTTGACCATTTTGGAAACTAGGTAACTTTGTAATATAATGGGAGCAAAATATATATATTCAGATTTAGCAAAATGTTTTCTTTTTATTGTAAAATATATTTTAATTAAAAATATAGTTTAGCAATGACCCACCGGTTGAACCACCGACCCACCGGTTGAACCACCGACTCGATGACCCGTTGATTTTTCCGGGTCGGCCACTGGATCTAATAACTATGACCCTATATCATACTCAAGAGCCAAAAAAATAGTAAAAAGATCATAATTGACTCAGTCGAACAGCAACGTGATTATTAGTATTCATTTATCTTGGTAAAGAACAGCCAATAAATTGAATGATTTGGCCTTCAGCAAATAGACAAATTTAAGACAAACCTTTACAAGCATTTTTCTAATCAAAACTTGAGATTAAATATCTTATGTTACAAAACATATTGAAAATACTATTACACTAGGTTCTAAAGAGTTTTAACATAGGTGAACATGAATTGTGAAATAGCTTTAACTTGTTTTATGGAGAGTATACCTTTGCAGCCTCATAGGCATAACACCACTGTGGAGATATCTCCCGGATTGTGAACTTCTGCTTCAAAATCAAATTTTCATGAAGAGAAATTCTGGTCTGCCCTTGCTCAAATACGGTTTGATAGCAGTCCTGATTGGTTTCAGAAGTATTCATCATGGAAGAGTATACAGGATATCTGATAGACTCATGTTCCTGGGGAATCATCACGGGATCTGGAAAGTTATGAGGGTTGTCAGATTGCCTTTCAAACTCACAGGACACAAAAAGTTCTTAATTGAAGTATTCCTTGAGAAGATCTTACACTTTTGGGCATCTTGTCCATCAAAGTTCGGCCAATTGTAAATTTCTTGGTTCGATGCTGGCTCTTTTGGTGATGAATTGAGCCGCACACCCTGTTAAGTTGAATATGTTATCATAGCAGAGGAATTAAGGTTTTCAGTTATTAAGACCGAAAATATTTGATACCAAAAAATGTATTCCATGCAAAAGTTTTCAAATCAAAAGATTCTTTTTTATGTTGTTTCTTAATAACCCTCAACATTTGGTGTGGTATAACACTGCAGGTCTCATTTATAAAATTCAGTATTGATATTTCAAGAATTCTTCAATTAGACAATATGCCAGGTGGATTTGTCTGCTTAATCCAACCAGCCCTAGAAGCTAGACCAATGAATAACATCAAATTTAGTGCTTGTTTGTTTCCCATTTTTTGTTTCTAAGTAGAAGAATTTGGACCGTTGCTTTTCCACAAACCCATTTTTTTATTGCATTTATGTGACACACGACATTTCACTGTAGAATTTATTGCTTTCCTCTTCACTTTCCCTACCTTGCCCTTATGTCCAAGAACGCTACTTTTCACTACTCTCCTCACTATTGGACAAAAGAGTGGGCATAAAAGGAATTACAAAAATGACAATTGCAGGTATTCAAACCAATGATGTAAATGGTGGGACCCATGATGTGATGCAAAAATGAATTCTACAATTTCAGAATGGGAAACAAACAAAGGCTTAATATTGCCTACCACATGAATAAGCAAAATTATTGAGATTCTTTGCTCTTTAGGTAACTGCCAACATTTACAAACTCCATCCTACCTTGACTGAAATGCACTCCTTTTATAAATTGTGTAGCAGATAAAAAAAGATAAATTTAGAATTGACTCCGTCAAAAGGAGGAATCTAGATAGGATCCTTTTTTTGTAATAAATGCCTACAAGTAATTGAATCATATTTCTATTACAACAGATATTGAATTACTAAGCAATCAAAAATGACAAAATGGAGGGAGTTCTCATGCTACAAGAAAAGAAGGAAACATTTTGCCCCATCACATATTTTCATAACACAGAATTAATATATAGCATAAAAAGGATGAAACAGTTAGAAGTAAAATTATATAGGGAGAATATTATCAAGCATAGCACAAAATAATAACTCAAGAATACTCTCACATTTTCATTCAAGTGGGCATCATATGCTTGTAATTTGACATCTGGAAAATTCTTAAAGCTACCATATATTTCTTTCCAATTGTCTACTTCTTCTACTTCAACGCCTGAGAGTGATTGACGATGCTCAACATTGTCACCTGCAAAGTCATACCCCATTAGGAGCTCTTTCCACTTCTGACACCATTGTCATTGATAATCGTCTCAAGAACTCCCCTTTAATTAAATAAATAGGAGGTAACTAATATATACCTGAAAATGGTTGCAAAAGAAGACTGTCTGAAGCCTCTGGCCTCTGAGCAGACAAATCATAATCATCTAGAATGTTTCCTAAATAATTTGAATCATTGTTCTCAATGTACAACATATTGATCTCTTCTGCCACATCATCATTTAAACTTAAATGCTGCTCGATTCTTTGTAATGCTTGACCTAAATCATGATCTGATGAGCTATTAATCTCCTCTATCCTCTCTGTAATGTCCGACTGATATATTCCACGACTCTCGACTCCTTGAGAACTTATTTCAACAGAGCCAGGACTTGATGTATTTTGATTTGGTTCATAAGATTCGTTAATGGCAACAGAAGAGCCTTGCTTCTGAGTTGTAAAAGAGTAGGGACTTGGACTGGAGATTGAAGAAGATAATGGTGAGAACTGCGATGTCAATATAGCATTCTGCCTTCCCTGTAATTTACAAATAAATTGGATGTCTTATTGCAGGTCTTGTGTTTGTCTATCTATGAGTTTACTTGTTAGTTGTTACTATAGCCATCATGAGTGGAATGTAAACATTGTTTACATGTCTGAATAATATCACCACGAACTAGGTGGAATAATACTCGACATGCAAAATTTGACTTTGCACAGCTGTGCCTACTTAATCCAGCAGTGCTCAAGGCAGAAATCCAGGTATCCATAGCAGTACACAGTTTCAATGCAAAAATTAGCTATTTCTGATGCATCAGAAGGAAACTTATCAGAATATCCAATTTCTATTGGAGACTGTGAGGCAAGACAATGCAAGATCTAAGATATAGCCATTCAGTTCTACTAAGTATACAAATGAAATTAGAAGATATAGCAAGATTAAAATGAAAATAAATGCACAAGAGATGTTAAAGTGAGTGTCTTGTGGATGGTTGGAGGTAATGGTAAAAAGTATAGAAACACATAATTATTTGATGTGCTTTGTCCACAATTAGGTTAAAGAAGGCTCACCTCCTCAATGTCTCTGTAGTGAACGAGAACAATGTGCTCACAAGCCCTGTTAACCCAGGAAAAGAAAAAAGAACAGACAAAATGAAAGCATTGTATGAGTTAGAAAGGAAAATAGTCTAGCCAATTCCACAGCTTACATTATCTTAAAAATAAAAGGGAATGTAAATTGTAGGAAGCTATACAGCGGCACATGCATTGGATAACCTTTTCCATCTTTAGTACTAAAAAATGATATTGGCATTATGGAAACTTCTCTAAATCTTACAACTGTTACACTAGTCTAAATTGCTGTTATGGCCAAATAGCGATAACTGTGTAAAAGGTGATATCAAATAAATATGTAAAACTCACGGGTCCAACATCCAGTAGCTGCGTCTCTGAAAGTTAGGATTCTGCTCTCCATGCGCATAGTAACAATTTATTGCTTCAGCATTCCCAACCTAGCCATAAGAAAAATTCCATGCAATGAATATACATCAACTAGCATACTCCATCTAAGCGGCAAAGTACTTTTAAATGAGGTCTCATATATAAAATTCTCCACGAAACTGATATAGTGATATATCTTGTCCCCGTGACATTTCGAATAGCTGTCCTTAAGAGTAGCATTTAAACTTTCAAAGGACGTGAGATGACTTCTCTTATTCATTCGCATAATATCTAAACTTCCAATGCAGCTTTCATAGCTATGCTGACAATTGATGGTAATTCTAAACATTAACAGCTTGCAAAATTTATGCCTTAAAGGACCAGAAACATGCAAGATGTTTTCGCTCTCTCCTTGCTAATTAGAAAATTTTCATAAATATGAACTAACAGCATTTTCCTTGGAACTATTTAATTATCTTGTTGAGCTAATTCCAAAAGAAGCATGATGCACATCAATATGAGAACAATATAAATAACCTTAAGCCTTTCGTGTGCTTCAGCAATAGTTCTCTGATCCTTCCTTTTGCGCCAACTATGACCATCTTTACGGAAAAATTTCTGGACTCGCTTGTTGAATAGATACAAAGATCCACCTGTTTAAGCAATCAATGAGGAAATAAAAACAAAATCAAGATAAAGTAAAAAAGCCTAAGTTAAATAAATGTGTGAAAGTAATGAAATTACTGGATGGTTTTTGAGGAATTTGGGGTGTAAGCTGGTGCTCCTCGTAATTCTGCAATATGAAAAGCACTTCAGCAGGCTTTAGCCAACGAGTTTGAGCCTCTCGCGCCAAATGATTGATATCATATCCTGAAATTCAGAGCACAATTGCTTATGTAACTCTATTTTTCCATTGTGCAAATATCTATTAATATAAAATTGCAGTCATAGCAAATCATGCGAAATGCTGAAAATCGTTTTACCTGTTTGCATCGTACTAATTTTATGCAGCATAAAAAAAAAAAAAATCAGAACCGCAACAGTTGTTGAGAGAGAACTTCAATTTCAATCATTCGAATTCATACTTATCCAAATCATTAACAAATCGATTCGTGATTCGTGAAGAAGATAGAGTACAGGGATAGATAAAAAGGCACGGTTTCTACAGGACGACGACTTCGTATGATCGGAGCTGAAGAAACAGAGAGGTATGGGTGAAAAGTCAAGTGTTACTTCGAATAGAAAATGAGCTCGGAATGAAAAAGACAGAAAGTGGAGGGCAGAGATATTTATTCCGCTGTTTGGGCTCCATTTTTAAAAAAAAAACGATAAAAAAAATAACGAGGAGATATTTATGCCGCTGTTTGGGCAATTTTTTTTTTCTCAATTCACTCACCAACTCCTTGTCTATTTATGGTCTCACTTCGCTTTCAATCTTCTTGTCTTCTCATATTCACTGTTGTTGAAGTAAACCCGATCTAATGAGCCTTTGCTATGATACTATTAAAATGTCCCATTCTTTGAATTTCACACTCGAACTCGAAAACGAGTTTCCCATTTGGATGGGTAGGAGATCTAATATGAGTATCTCTATGACACTATTAAAAGGTCCCGTTCTTTGAACTTCACACTCAAAAGCGAGTTTCCCATTCGGGTGGGTAGAACTCCTACCCACCTTCTTGTGGTTGATCGAAAAGCTCAAGCGGTAAGACATTTCACCATAGAGACGGTTCTAAGGTCGAGCAGAGGTATGAGGAAAGTCTCGGAAGAGCACGGGGAAAGGGTAGGATCTAGAGCCTAATTTCTCATTTTTTCAATCACACTTTTTTAATAAAATAATATTATACGTAAATTTAAAATTCTGTTCTTTTGCAATCATACATTCTTCTAAAAATGAATATTTTCTTCAAAATTTGATTTTAACAGTCCAAAAAAAAGACTTATTTGTATATAAAAAATATTCTTAAATAATAATTTTTGTTCAATTTCGCTCTTTAAACTTTATTTTTTTCATAACTTATTTTTAACTACGTGTTTTTTAATAAAATAATTTTTACGTGAATCTATGATTTTTTCTTTCAAAAATAAGATACTCTAAAAAATTCATTTTTTCATAAAATCTATTTTTTAAAAATTCTATGTCAAAACATATCCTTACCTCCTATTTTTGAATTAGTTAAGAAGAAGCAATAATGGCAAGAATAAAAATTAGTAAAATATTGGGTACAGATTTTTCCACACCCTATCATAGATAAGACTCACTTTATAATGAATAATTTTTGTAAAAAAAATTTAATTTCCTTCATTTCTAGTGTAAGTTGATTTTACCTTCTTGTTTAGTGCTCGTGTTAAAGTTGATATTACCTTCTTGTTTCTTTCAATT